CCATATTGATCAATCCAAGCTTGATTTACCAGCCCTCTATCAATCCTGGTACAAATTCTAGGCCCATCATGAGCTTTATTAGACCAAGAGAAAGGCATCCCTTTACTCTTAATCTCAAATAGCTCCATGTCATCAATAAATTGTTGGAAATCCCTGGTTTCATAATCATTAACAAAATTTACCCGTATCCTATCTTCAGAGTGAAGAACATAATTGAAATCTCCAGCACACAACCAAGGGATAGTAGAAATTGGTAAGCTCCTAACTCCATCTCAAAGAGTTTTCATATCATGGATAGATTGTGACCCATAAACAAAGGTACAGTTGATTTGGCATCCCAAATCCTTAGTATTAATTAAACAATGTATAAAATGCTCATGAATTTTAATCACATCCCTAGTAAGCCTATCATCTTTCTAACCAACCCATATTCTTCCTTTTCGAGAACAAGACATATTAGTAATCCAAGACCACCCAATACCAATCTTCCTGTGCATAGAGGCAACATTTTTTTGCTTCACCTTATTCTCAAAGAAACCAATCACATCACAATTATGTTGAGAAAGTAGCTTCTTAACATCAACTACTTCATAAAGGTAATTTAAACCTAGGGGTGAGCAAGAATTATGGGTACCCAGATCCGAAATTGGAACTGGTTTGGACTCGGTGGTTTCAGACTCGGAGCTGGTTCAAAAGGGTCCGGTTCAATTCCTAAAATTAGGACCCGGTAAGATGCAGTTCCAATTCCAAGTCTAGAATTTTTGGACCCGGTACCCACTCGGTACCCGATTTCATACTAGTTTTTACTGAGGAGCTTAAGAACTTTTGCAGCCCATGTGAACTATGTCCCAATAAACAAATAACCTCTCTTAATCATTGATCTAAATCGAACAATATTATGTAAAATGTAAAAACATTAAAAAAGAAAACAACCATTCAGCCGCACACTATAATTTCTTTCTCTGAGTCAAAATGCTCTCTTTCGCTTACTTTCCTTCTTTCTTTCACTTTCATCTTCATTCTTTTCAAATGTCCCATATTAATAAATTTAGAATTTCATTTTTCTGTCTTATTTTGTATCAAAATTCTACATATGCTGTTACCCTTTACTTTAATTCAATCTTGTTTAACAGGTTAGTTTCGTAGCTAGATAAATTTTATTTTATTTTTTCAGCATGATTTTATTTTAAAAGAAGTGAATTCGCGGAGTATCACTTTATGAAATTATTTATATTGTGGGTTTTTTGTTTAATGTATTTGAATCTACTCCAATTTTCAGCCAAGTTATTATCATTACTTTTGTTAATTAGACGAATTGTAGCCAATTTTGTTTTAGACAATAAAGTTAAATTAAAAATTATAGTATGAAGAAATCGGGTACTCGGTTCTAGAACCGGTTCCCACCAGTTTCGGGACCAATTCCTTAATTATTGGACCCGGTAAGAATCAGTTCCAATACCAGTTCCTATTTCTTGGACCCGAATCTAATTAGTTCCAATTCCAGTTCAATCCTTTAATACCGGGTACCCGGTTTTGCTCACCCTTATTTAGACCCCTTATATTCCATGTGATGATAATCTTGTCACCAAAGAGGGATTACCTTCTCCCCTGATAGGATTAATAGTAAAACCTCTAGCTCTTTTAATCTCATTAGTCATCAGAAAAACATAAGCATTGGAAGTAGATGCAGCTGTAGGCCGAGTTCTTTTACCCTGGTTCTTTGTCTTCCTGCCTACTATTCTCCATCAATCATTAGAATTATGTTGAGTGGAGGTGGCAGCTGGTGTAATAACTGCCCCATGAACAATTTTGTTAAGATTTGGATTGGCAGTAGCAATCTGATTAGGCTTGGGAACCCAGATCGTTTTTGCTGGTTATGTAGGAACAACTGGTTTCTTAGCCTGGTTCTGCTTTGCAGGAGCAACTTTAGCAGTACAATCATGCCCAACCTTATTACGCTTAGAGAAAAATGGAGGGATCCATTCATATACTATCTTAAGTTCCTATAGTTCACCTAAAGGACTTTCAACAAAAACAGTCTTAGGAAGAACCTTTGTTACATCAATTTCAATGAGCTCCCTAACAAAAGAGACCCCTAAGTTGCCTTTTTATATGTTCATCTGCAAAAATACGTACCCCTAACAGGCTATTAATTTGACTTAGAGTTTCAGCTCCCCAATAATTGAATGGTAGATTAGGGAATTTAACCTAAAGAGAGACAATCCTCAAAATCTCATCATTAAAATAAAATTTAACATTCCAGGGTTTGACAATTACAAGTTTCCCATAGAACATGTGAGGACCAGCATAAAAAATAGCATCCTTATCACTAACTAATACCAGGTTAATAACGAAGTACCCATCATCATGCTAGAACACCTCTGGTTTTTGCACATAACTCCACTGTTGGGCTGTATAATGATGAACATTAGCTATAGTAGGACAGAAGCCAATAACATAGAAAATTAAAGCATTTGACCACTTTATATTACCTACAAAGAGTTCAGATTCCTGCAATTGAGCAATTTAATTGTCTACCATCATACACTTTCGGGGCAACATAGGACAGGGCAACTCCCTTTGCAGTCAGCTTACCATTGAAGAATCCTTCAACCTCACAGCATCTTGATCATTAAGAGGAATAGGTTGAGGACTGGTACCGTAGATTCATATTGACCCCCAACAACCTCATAATATGATGGAATAGTAACCTTAGAAACCTTAGGTACTATTTGATTGGATTCAGAAGTTGTAGGTCTATTAGTAGCTCTGTAATACATAGCAATAGTAGATGGATGAACTAGTCCCAGCGCCGGTGATGAGTCTGTTATATATATATATATATATATATATATATATATATATATATATATATATATATATATATATATATATATATTTATTCCCCGTCCCACGGTCATATTTGTACTTATTTGAGCTCTATGGAGTTATTTTTATTACTAATATACGTTTTCTAGTGTTTTTGTAGAGTTGGTATTATTTTGTAGGAATTTTCAGATTTATGATAATTCACGAGCTTATTAAGCCAATATAAAGATATTGGAGTTTGATTGTATTTTATGATCGTATATTTGAAGCTCAAGACCGAGTTAAAGGATTTTGGTTTGGTGATTAAAAGAGGTCCGATCCAATGTTCCCACAAGAAATATGGACCAAGCTAATTGAGAATTTGGGCTCAAGTTAACAAGTTTCAACTCCAAAGCCCGATTCCCACAAGAGAAGTCCAATTCGGTGCCTAACTGGACAGGCTCGATGAGGCGGGCTTGTTCACGCTGCTTAATACGCTGATTTTTAATGTTTTGAGTGGTTGGGCTTCGTTGTTTAGGCCCACCTGATTGATGTCGGTTGATGGGGAATTATAAATACCAAATTACTGGGTTGTTAGAGGGGTTATTGTAGTTTTTTTCGTTAGTTTAGTTTTGAGTAGCAGCTTCCATTAATTAGTTTTAGTTGACTTTTAGTTTATAGTTTTCCACTTTTCCTTAATTTTAGTTTGAGATAATATTATTGCTTTGTAATTTCAAGTATTGGATTATTTCACTAAGTTCAGATTTCCGTCAGTTCGACAGTAAATATCTCATCTTTATTTTATGTTTGCTTTCTTATTAGTTTTATAACTATTGTTTTTAAGTATGGTTTATTTAATTGCTTTGATCTTTATTTTGCTTTCTTTAATCGTTTTGATTAGTTTAGTTTTAATTATGCACGAGTAGTTTAAATCTAGGGTTTTGGGGATCCATAAATAATAAGAAGGGGTAATTTCCTATTGATTGATTTAATGCTATGCAATTAAATTAGGCTTAGTTTAATTGTATGAGTTATGCAATATTGATTCGAGATTCGAGAGATGAGAATTGATGTTTAGGCTTAGTTTCAATAGGTAGGTTAATTTATAAATGGTTAAGTTAAGATTCGAGAGATGCGATTTAATACCGATAGATTAATTTTGTGATTGTAATATGTAGCGAAATCCCATTATAATCTGGTTAATTATTGCATTGGTGATTGATTATTATTCTTTACCCTGTAATATTGTTTATTGGTGAACCTATACCCTAGGCTTTTATTTATTGATTTCTCCCTACTTTTACCTCACTTAGTTTAATTCATCATATCTATAATTTAGTTACTTTAATAATTTAGATTAATTTAATTAATTAGGAATAAATTGACTTGTTTCCCTGTGGTTTGACCCTACTTCCCTATCTCTTTTAGTTAAAGGACTTAGGTAATTCTTTTGATTAGGAAATATGAATTTATCCTGTTAGCTGACGTAACCATCTCATCAACTTCCCGAATCGAGCTTGGTGTAAAAGAGGTACCCGAGTTCCTTAGATTCTGCAAAATTATATCAAAAGGATCATGAGTAGTCGATTGTGAAGCTTGTTGAGGTATTAGGTTATTTTTGTATTCTTTTCGACCCATTGGAGATCAGATTTGATGAAGAAAAACCATCAAACTCTAAGAACCATGGAGAGGAGAGAGATCAGAGAAAGTCAACAAAAGTAAAACCTTGAATATGTTTAGGAATTTTATCATTAGACATTTAGACGTGTTTCTATTAGATTAATTGATTTTTTCTCCTGTTTTCCTTATTATTTCTTTTTTTATCACTTTATTATCAAATAAATTCATAGTACTAAAATAAAGTACGAATACTCTATGTAAAATATGGTACTTATTCTGTCACTAAATATTTAACAAAAATACAAGTTGTCAAAATAGAAATGACATTTATTGATGAAAAATTACTAATTCAAAGTATATGATAATAATAATACTAATCATGGTATTAAGTGAGATTTATGTGTCTCTACTTGTGAATAAGCATAAAATTCTTAGAACATATATTTGAAACATTAATATAAGGATCAATGCAAACTACATTACACTTTATGTAAAAATTTAATTTATTCAACCCCCTCATTGTAAAACGGAAACAAAGGAACACTTAAACAAGTTCTTAACTCTAATTAACCCTAGCCACTTTTCCTAACAAAGGAGAGTGCCAAATCTAAGTACTTCAACTTAAGGATTGCATATTCTTTCACCTTTATAGGCTTAAATTTAAGACCCTCACAATTTGGATAGTCCAAAAAGGGAGAGACTTCAAAGTCTACTGGAAGGCCATAAAAGTATGCAAAGGATAACCTTTGTTTTTGTTTATTGTTGACAACTGCCCTATGAATTGCACTTGGAAATCTTACATTTGAAATTATGTGTAAAAGGTCTGCCACATTTACCACCAAAGCACCTGGATGTGGGTTGAATGAGACCCACCCACTACTACAAAAAACCCCTAATAAGTCGGACTTTTAGAGTCACCTGTACATAAGGTGGGACTTATAAACCTATCGAGTCGCCTCATATTTATTAGGCGACTTGTTAAGTTGGGGTTAAAATCAACAAAGCACCTAACGAGTCGCTTAATATATATGAGGTGACTTGATAAGTTAACAAGTCGCCTCATATATGCATGCGACTCTATAATCCGACTTATTTGGTGGTTTAAATTAGATTTTCAAAGTCACCTTTACATAAGGTGCGACTTGAAACCCTGTCGAGTCGCCTTATAAATATTAGGTGACTCAATAGGTGAGTTTTCTTATCTACGACTCTCACCTAATGAGTCGCCTGATATTTATAAGGCGACTCGATAGGTTTAAAGTCGCACCTTATATACAGGTGACTTTAAAAATCTAATTTAAGCCACCTAATAAGTCGGGTTATAGAGTCACATGCATATATGGTGCGACTTGTAAACCTATCAAGTCACCTCATGTATATTATGCGACTCTTTAGGTGCTTTGTTGATTTTAACCCCAACTTAACAAGTCGCCTAATAAGTATGAGGCGACTCGATATGTTTACAAGTCGCACCTTATATATAGGAGACTCTAAAAGTTCGACTTGTTAGGTGCTTTATTATATGACGACTACCTAATTAGTCGCCTAATACGTAGGACGCGACTCGATAGGTTAATTCTAAAAATGTATATAAAATAGTTACAATATCATATATATATGAAAATTAACTTTGGCATAATGGCAAGAACTTCAATCTTCGATGCAAAGAACCAGAGATCAAGCATGCTGAGTGTCATAAACACTGACATTATATGAGCTAATAAAAATAGTTTGAAAAAATGTTGATTTTTTACGTGTCGCCTCTTTCAACACAAGGGACACAATAGATTAACCTATGGAGTCGCCTCTTTCATCACAAGCGACACAATAGCTTAACAAATAGAGTCACCTAACAACTAATAGGCGACTTATATAAAAGCTATCAAGTTGCCTTAGAGGTGACTCCTAAAGTTGGAAGCTATTGTGTCGGTGGCTGTGGAGTCGCCTTTAAAGCGACTCGTTAGGTCATTTACAGGCGACTCGATAGGGGTTTTTTGTAGTAGTGACCCAAATTCGTCTTTGTATACTTGGAGTCCACTTGCATTGCCACTTTGGTGGAGGATTGTAAAGAGGAGAGTATCTGTGTGGGGCCCTATGCCCATTGTTTGGGATGAATCAGGGCATGGCGGGTACGAGTTGAGATGAATTGCATAATTATGGTCTTTAAGTGTAGCTTCTTCAGGTGTAGGAATGTTAAGTGATTTGAAAATCAAACTCTTGAGTTTGTCACCAAGGTCATTCATCTTTGTCTGGTACTCAAATATCACTTCACTATATAAAGGAAAACAACAAATTGACATGGTTTTATAAGCAATAATGATATAATTAGTTTGTAAAACAACATGAATATCTAACATACCTGAAGTCGTATATGATAACCAAATACATCTTAAATTAACACATTTAGGGTAATTAGAATAGTGTGCAATGTGAATGTAGAAAATAGTATGAGTATATGGGAAAATTAGTGTAAATAGCATACAGGATGACCCGTATGTACAATATTTATTACTTCCTTAGTCCTCTAGGAGGGACCTTTCCCATAATGTCATTTGTAAGGTTGTTCAATAGTTGCCCTAAATTGGACTGAATTAAAGAGAATCGGTCATCCAGTCTTGTCTGGTCCAAAACCCCTAAAACTAGTATTAAATTTAACCCCCTTTTTTTATTAAAATTATAAATTAAATTTCTATACTAAGTTATATTTAACTTAAGATTACTACGAATATATTACATTATGAGATATTTATTACACATTCGGTAAAATGGGTATCAAATAATAATGTTTCATATATTTATTTTTCCTTTTTTTTATGAATTTATTATATAGGAAAATAGTTTTAAACTAGTGTTGTTCGAACTGATTTTAGACAAGTCCATTCATGGTTCGGCCTAATCGTTTGGCTTTAAATTTTTGAATTTTAAATATTGGTTAGGTTCAATTTGATATTCGATTCATAAACAACTCCAGTTATTTCCACATTAAAATGGAATATGTAACAATGTTCCATAAAATTATGCAAAACTTGGCTAACGACTTGGATATATATCATAGAATTTTGTAAATATAATAATAAATGATTGCATAAATGTGCTATGCATTAGAGGTAAACAATGTACACAGGGTAACCTTAACATTTGTGGGTCAATCAACTCTATTTTAATTTATATATATATATTTTCAATTTTCCTTGTCAAAACTGATTTCTTTTTCTTAATTTGATAAAATAATGTGTAATATGAATCCGCATAAATTGATAAACATATACAACTTTATTTTGACCCTAATAAATATTATTTCTAGATCTTCCAATAAATGTGGGGCCTTTTCATTTTTCTTTTTGTAAAACTAAAAACAAAATATAAGAAACATTGGTTCATAGTTTTTTACTGTTAATTTTATAAATAATGATGATTTTAATTAGTTTCACAAATTTAAATTTAATCTTTTTAATGTAATGTATCATATGACTTTCAAACAAATGAGCTTACCAAAAACTTTCAAAACTATTAGGCCAAAGTTTCTTAGGGTGATGATGATAAGAGTTACCCATGATAGTGAACCCTTCATTCCACATTTGCTTGCTGAAGAATAAAGCAAGTCTAGGATAACCATATCCAGTATCTTCACCAGGGGCTCGTAAAACCTTCATCTTTTTCTCAAATGGAAGATTGAATAATTTTTTGGTTTGAAACTCGACTTGATCTAATAACTCCTTAGAAACCCCATGATTTATGACTTGAAACATCCCCCATGTCTCACACACATTAAAAATGAGGCCTAAAGCCTTAGGATCTTCAAGATCAATTATTGGAATAGAGATTGAAGCCCCCGATTTCTCATTATCAGGGTTGATTTTTGAATCGTCAAAACATTGTGCCCCTATATGAGATTCAGGAACCCTTTGGATTGAGCTAAAATCTATAGGAACAATAAGGCGTTGCTGCATAAGATGATCCTTGTCAGCATTTGAAAGAAGAGACATTTTTTTAAATGGAAAAATAAAAAAAAAACCTTGGTAATATAGAAAATTTGAGGTTTTAATTTTTATTTTACTTTGTGAGGAAGATTGAAGGTTTAATCAAAATATGAGAAAATTATCAATGGAAGCTTTGATAAACATATAATTTGTCTGTCTTTTGACTGATGCGAACTTGTGAAAACATGTATTTATAGGGGTTATAAATATTATATAAATGAATTTGAGATTAATGACATGTGTCATATATCAAGTAAATAATGGAAATTATCATGATATCAGTGCAATATCAAATACCAAATCAAATATTTCTATCTTTATAGTTGAATATTAAATGTTAAAAACTTTAAATGTTATAACATATCAATAAAAAAATGTAAGAAATCAACATGTTTGATTATGTACATAAAATAAGGCAACTAAATTATATCATGTGTATAATTGATAAATTTTGAACGACTAATGAATCGAAAATGATCTTGTGGTACTCCCTTTGTAACACCCCAAAATCTCCCTCTACGGATATACTCGTTGTAGGGAATATTTCAAGCATTCCTTCCTTTATTCTTCTCATATTCATGTGTGCTTTCTGACTAACATACAATCAATAAGTTAACACTAAACCTGTTTATCTATGTTGGTTGAATATTAATGCACAAACAAATCTATTATTAGCGATTACTTAAATTGTAATCATATTAGCCTAAACAAGATTATCAATTATCTTATATATTAAGCGTGACTACAAGTATAAATTCTCTTCAAACATGCATAAAAGACGTGATCGAGCAATAACAATAATATAATAAGCAGCAACAACAACAACAACAACAACAACAACAACAACAACAACAATAATAATAATAATAATATTCTCAATCTTTATCCTAGCACGTCACTAAATAATAAAAATCAAATCCTAGCACGTCACTAAACAATAAAAATCAAATCAACCTAAACATGATACTAGAAAGCAATAAGCATCCTAACATGATACTAGGAATGAATATAATATAAACATGCTTTCTATATCAAAAGAATAATTAAATTACTTACTTTGATGTCTCGTATCTCTTTCTAATAACAAAATACACACGTTAGTAACTTCAAGGAAAATATTAAATCAAACAATAAAATAAAATAATTGAAATAGGGACTTGGGACCAAACTCTCAGAAATTATCAACCTTTCATGTCCAGGGCAAAGACAACTTTGAACTTGGCTAGGTGTGTCTAGGACTTGTGAATGCGGAATTTTGTTAAAGGAAAAGGTTTAGAAAACGAATATAGAGAGAATAAGCTTTAGCTTAGAGAGAAGAGAAAAGATTAGTGATCAAGCTTGTTGATTCTGAATGAATGAAAACGGGAAAATACGACCATATTTATAAAGAAAATAGTCCGAAAACGATAGAATAGAATTAGAATTTGAATCGGAATAAAACTAACCCCTGTCGCCAGTGACAGAGCCCAGCGCGAAACGACAAGCATCACGTATGGCGACAGGCTCTGTTGTTTGGCGACGGCCTTCTCGTCTGGCGCTAATTAAAAGATAAAACGCGCTTTTGTACATAATCATCTTCTTAATATAATTAAGATATTAAACTCCGTATTTATTAATTTTAAATCAGATTTATCAAAATAAAACACTTGTTTTATATCAAATCAAATTCACTATTTTTCTAAAAAAAAATAATTATCAATCCTAACGTTATTAGAGCTCAAAATAACCTTCTAGACTATTGTAGAAAATTATAATCGATCCTAATAATATTAAAAATAATAATTAATGCGCCCTCCACTAGATCATTGGCCATAAAACCATTTTAGACCCAATTTAGTATTTTGGCCATAACCTCCTCATTATTCATCGGAATTGGGCTTATAATATATCATTGGAAAGCTCTTTGCGAGCTCGACCCAACTACACTATTATTGGACTTTTTCATGGAACAAGATAAATTTGACTAGATATTTATATAAATAGAGTAGATTTTTGAAAACAGAAAGAAAGATTTTTATTAAAACGACCGCAGCACAAGACTTTTCAAAGTTTTACTTCGTTCGATAATCAAGTGACGTAAAAAGTATTCATCATTGGGATTGGTTTTTGGGGAGACACATTTGGGTGTCTATAGAAGCCCCCAATATGATTGAGTTTGTTGCAACACATGTTTCGAAAACAAAAGTCAAAGTAGCGATGGAGACAGAGAATGATTCAGAATATCCTGCGATCCTAGATCATTCTTGTAACTCCGATACCTGCAAACTAGCGTTAGTTAAATAAATAAAATAGTTAAGAAATGCGTATCTTGCACCGTCGAGCACACGTCTCTGGAGTAACCAATTTTGTTGATGCATTTGTGACAACCTTCATAGTGCCTTGTTAACGCCGTCATCGAAGATCGCTGCTTGTAGCTATCCTTGATTGTTTGTGACAATTCTTCACATCCTGAGGAACTTTGTCGAAGGTGACTGCTTGTAGCCATCTCCAGTTTTTTCCTTGACAATCTTCCACATCCTGGGGAACACCGTCAAATATGACTGCTTGTAGCCATCTTCAGCTTTGAAAATTTTATTATCCTAGGGAATATCGTCGAAGACCACTACTTGTAGTTGTCTTTAGTCTTGGTATGACAATCATCCTTATCCGAGGGAACATCGCTGAAGATCGCTACTTGTAGCTGTCTTCAAAATCTTGTATGTGCCTTGACTTGATTATTTAACTGATTACTTTCTCATCCTAGTGAAAGTCGTCGAAGACCTCGTTGCCTTGTGATCCTCTATCTGCTAATGCTTTGCTCGAATTATTGTTGTGTTGATGTTTTTTTTTTGCTGTAATTACTTATTGCGATTGCTTGTTGTGCTAGTATCTCGGCGCATTTTGTAAACGAGCCGGTACCTTGGCGCTTGTGCTTGCTTGTGAACCATTACCTTGGTGCTTATGATGAGCCAATACCAAGGCGCTTTAAGCTAAGTGAGACGATTGTTGTCAGGTCGATCACTTACCGCGATTATAATCAAGCCGACTACTAATCATGTCAATTTGCTTATAGGGGCTAACTGGCGTACGAAGGAACCTAAAACGTTGCATCAAGTCCGCATAAACCATTATGGGTGTGTATATGGGGGTGAAGACACCCATTTGTGTCTTCCCAAAACCAAACCCAGTGATGAGCATCTTTTACATCGAATCATAATCGAATGAAGTGAAAGTGTGGAAAGTCTAGTGTTGTGGTTAGTTTTTATTTCTTTTCTTTCTCTTTGTTTTTGAAAACCTATTTTAATAAAATAGACAATCCAGTTTGGTTTTGTCCATGATAAGGATCCAATAATAGTGTAGTTAGGCCGGGTTCGAAAAGAGCTTTCCAACGATATATTATAAGCCCAATTCTGATGAATAATGAGGAAGTTATGGCCAAATTACTAAACTGGGCCCGGTTTTATCTTTATATGCGGCTCAATGATCTAGAGGAGGGCCTATTATTGATTTATCATTCTTAATGCGATTAGGATTGATTATAGATTTCTAGAATCTTCTAGAAGTTTCTTTTGAATCCTAATTTAATTAGCATTGATAAATTGACTTTAGTTGACTTCTAAGAGTTTTAATCAGAATAAAAGAAGTGTTTTTAAGGAAAATACAGTTTTGCCCTCTCATACGCTTAAATTTTAACAAAATAAGAAAATACGTGGAAAATTGTTTGCAGAACCATACAACAAGTCTGTCGCCTGGCGACAGACCTGGCGTCTGGCGCAGCATTGTCGTCTGGCGACAGGCGCGTGTTTGGCGTTGCAATCGTGTTTTATTCTTTTTGAAACTCTGATTTGTTTTTTTTTTTCATATCCGGCTGATTTCCTCTATAAATAGCCTCCAAAAACCTCCATTTTCAATCATCAATTCTTAGGAATTCTCTCTAATTCTCTCTCTCACCAACTCTCATCAAAAAATTCTTGATATCTCTCTCTCTCTTTTCTAAACTAGCTTTTCTCATACAAAATTCCGCATTCACAAGATCTAGACACACCTAGCCAATTTCGAAGTTTCCTTCGCCCTAGACGTGAAAGGTTTTAATTTCTGGGGATTTGGTCCCAAATCTCTATTTCAATTATTTAATTTAATTGTTTTTTTTTGTTATTTTCCTTGAAGTTACTAACGCGTGTATTTTGTTATTAGAAAGAAATATGAGACATCCAATTAAGTGCTTTAATTGCTTTATTGATATTATGATATTGAAATCATGTCTAGGTTGTTGTTATGATTCCTAGTATCATGTTTAGGGAAAAGGTTATAATATCAAATATGACAATTGTGATTCCTGCGATGCTTCCTATTCTCTTTCCTAATATTCATGTTAGTATCATGTTAGGGTTAAAGCTTTGATCTTTGATGTTTAGTGACATGCTAGGGTTTGTTATTAATCTTGTTAGTATCATGTTAGGGTTAAAGCTTTGATCTTTGATGTTTAGTGACATGCTAGGGTTTGTTATTAATCTTGCTAGTATCATGCCTAGGATCTTGATATTATGCTTTAACATGAATTATTAACTTTATGATGATTTATTATGATTGTTATTATTATCATGTTGCTTGATTATATTTATTGTTATTTCTTAATCACACCTTTTATTGCATGTTTAAAGGGATTTGTACTAGTAATCATGCTTCATAAGATAATTATTAATCTTGTTTAGGGTTAATATGATTATAATTCAAGTGATCGCCAATAATAGTTTTGTTTGTGCATTAATATTCAACCAGCATAGATTAAACAAGTTTAGGGTAAACCTATTGATTGCATGTTAGTCAGAAAGTGCACATGAATACGAGAAGAATAAAGTAGAGGCCTATTATTAGGGCAGGTTCAATCTCTTTTAGGTTGGATTTGTACCTTCATCCCCGAACTTCCAGTCATGGTTCCAGACCTATTGGAGTTAACGATCTCCTGGATTATTAAGGGGTGTAACTTTCACCCTGTGAACGGTTTACAAGTTCCTAAAACCTGTTGG